CACACCCTTCTAACATCAATGCATTCAATGTAACAGGTGTTAATCATCTATCACAGTCACCAAATTAACGATTTCACCTATCACACTAAAAATCCCTCATCACCAATCTATAAATAATCTCAACATACAAAGTTCAGAACCTCATTGTCCACACTATATCCGTCCTTCCCCCCTCCACCACCGGCACGCGGACGCAGACAGATCTGGTCGCGTCATTCCTTCACTCGCAGCCTCCCACTCAAGCTAATGGCCGACATCAAGTGGACGCCGGTGCGCTATCTCTCGTATGGCGTGGGCCATGTGCTCAACGACATGTGCGCGTCTACATGGTTCTCCTATCTCCTCGTCTTCCTCCTTCACGCCGTGGATATGTCCCCCGTGGACTCGGCCGTCGTCATGTTCTGCGGCCAGATCGCCGATGGGCTCGCCACTCCATTGGTCGGGGTCTTCTCGGACAGATCTTCAGGCCTCCCGTGGCTGGGCTTGGGTCGTCGCAAGACGTGGCTCGCCATTGGCTCAGTATTAGTCATCCTGTGCTTCTTCTTCGTCTTTGGTGCTTGCGCTCCCCGCTGGTTCTCGGACTCCCCGAGTCGAATGGTCCTGCTCGTCTACTACAGCGCTGCCGCCAGTATCTTTAACGTCGGGTGGGCCACAGTTCAAGTCTCACATATGGCCATGGTTCCCGAGTTATCAGATGACGATAACGTCCGCTGCGTTCTTAACAGCACTCGTTACGCCTTCACAATTTTGTCAAATGTGTTGGTGTTTTGCGTCTTCTTAGTGCTGCTAAGAGTCGTATCGCCACTGGGGGTCCCCGATGCAGAGAAATTCACTCTATTAGCGTACACTTCGCTGCTTGTTGGAGGTATCTGCACTGTCGTGTTCCTAACTGGAACCCCGGAGAAGGTTACAGTGGAGAAGAAAGAGAAAGATCCAGCGGAAATACTGGCTCAGAGTCCTGTTATGGCGGATCTAGAAGGACGAGGACACAGTGCCTTCCCATGTGAAGGAGACTTGGATGTCCCTGCTGTGGAGGTAGTGGGCACGTCGGATCACATGACGTGGAGCTGCTGGTTCAAACTCGGTATGTTTTACGAAGTTGGACTGGTCTACATGTGCACGAGACTCGTCGTCAATGTGACGCAGGTCTTTATCTCGTTCTACCTCATTGTGACGCTACAGATGTCGGCCACGTCGATCGCCATTGTACCGTTGTTAGTCTATCTATCGGGATTTCTAGCGACATTTTTCTTACGATACTTGAACGAGTCGCTAGGACGTACGGGATCCTTTGCATTGGGTGCTGGTCTGATAGTCGTGGCGTTGGTACTGTCGTACTTCTTAACTCCAGAGACAGCAACGTGGGTGTACCCATTCTCGATCGTTTTGGGTATGGGTAACTCTATTATCATGGTCACGTCGGTGTGTCTGACTGGAGATCTGGTCGGCAATAACGTTGAAAGTGGGGCTTTTGTGTACGGCGCTATGAGCTTCACGGACAAGATCTCAAACGGCATCGCTATTCTGTTTATTCAGAATACACGCCAGCAGCTGCAAGACTTACCGGACCAAGATAGCGAGTTTTTGCGACAGGTGTATTGTATCTTGCCTTCACTTGCTGCGCTTGTTGGACTCTGCACCGTCATGTTCATGACGCACTGCAGTGGGTCCGGCGACAGAAGACGACGCAAAGTGGAGAGTGCGTCCAGTAGCACAGCAGACGAAACGGAGATTCTCCTCGTGAACGAGGAAGCGAAGGCTACCGGATATGGGTCGATTTAGTTTTCGTGATTTTGTCTCGTGCAGGCTCGACTGAAGAAACCGACGGGCGCCGTTATGGTTAGAAGTAGCGCAGCTTCTCGGTTTAGTCAGGATATTGCTAAGCAACTCGGTAATGACACTTTTCATTTGTTTTTTTTTATTAGTAAAAAAAAAAAGAATACTATTAATACTGGTAGATACGCAGGATTAGTTTTGGTACATGTATTAATATGTAGAGCGATGAATGCAGATACTTTTATTTTAATAAGTACTTTAGTATTAGCATTACTAACCAGTGGCATAATTTGTGCGTGTGTGTTACAGTAATACGCTAGCAGCGTGAATGGTTATGCAGTAATAGGGGACGAAGTCCCCCATTAGAATCCCCGAACTTTCTAAATAAATGTACCGTGATTAACATTCAATAGTGGGTGTCAAATATCGTTTTAGCTCAAAATTGAGGAGCTGAATATCAACCAGTAATATTTACCTAAGAAGAAGAACGCCTGAGACCACCCTTAGAGGAGCCATTCGAGCTTTGCATTCAGCTGTCGCGTGGCCCTCCAAGCGGTGCTGCCCGTGTTACTGCCTGCGGCCGCCCGTGTGCC